CTTCTCGCTCTCTCTCTCTCTCTCTTTCTCTCTTTCTCTCTCTCTCCCTCCCTCTCTCTCACACTTTCTCTGCCTGTCTATCTATCTATCTATCTATCTATCTATCTATCTATCTATCTATCTATCTATCTATCTATCTATCTATCTATCTATCTATCTATATATCCATGTATCTATCTATCTATCTATATATATATATCTATATCTATATATAGATATATAGACCGTTACATTATTGTATTGCATTATCAGAGGTTCAACATCTAGTGATAAGCTTGATCTAGTGAAACCCACACGGGGTAGAGCGGTGGTTCTGTGTCCTATTATAGAGATGGTCCACCTCTCTATTATATCTCCATTATACCTCTCTATTATTTATAGCGTATTATGGCGTTCATATAGACGTGCTGTTGTTTGACATGCTAATGCTGTTATGCTAATAGACTCGCCTCACTATCCACGAGATACTACATCACGCTATAGATAAGAACACAATGTGGCACGCGACAAGAATAGAATTAGGACAACGATAGAATCGCGTTTCGTCAGGATAGCGGTCATATCTCGCTATCGATTGCAACCGAAGCGCTAATATTTTCGCAGCTATTCTTGAATGACCTTTACGGAGTAACAATCCCGCCGAGCATCGAGGCAGACGACTTCCAACAAATGCTCGCCGCAGCAAAGGACCCGGAACAGGCGGCCATCTTGAATAAGTGGTACACGGCGGATGCGGTCGTGATGCCGGCGACGGTGGAGATCAACAACAAGGAGCGTCTAGAGTTGAAGGAGTCGGCCATCTTGCTTGCTGCTCTGTTTAACGCGATGACGGCGGTGCAGCGTGACAAGTACATGTGTTCAGGTGAGTTTCTTCAAATGCCGCGTCAAGCACCATGGAGTTTTCTTCCATGTTCTCCCAGCGCTTTCGTTGTGTGGAAAATTCCGTGTGAAATATGTTTTACTTTATTGTCGTGGAAATTCTCTCATATATTTTCAACATCCTCATTACTGGATGTGTGGCGGCTACTTTACGCGGTTATTATTCGAACCAAAAGCGATTCGCAGTTCCAAATGTGGAGAGCCAGTTTTCTACATCTCGAGAAAATTCACTGCCCTGGCCAGAGTTGATCTCCCCATTGGCTTCTTGGCGAAAGGTTGATGTGTTAGCTATTGGCTATGAGTAACGAATCTCTCTCGTCGCGGTAGCAATAGGCTGCGCATCAGTATCAGGATCAATTTGCCCTTAAAGCCACGTGCGTGGTGTGTTCTGGCAAGGTGACCGCCATTGACCAAGTAACGTATTTACATTTCTATTATAATCTATAATCTATAACACGATCCCCCCCACACACAAACACGGACGCACGCACGCACGTACGCACGCACGCACGCACGCACGCACGCACGCACACAAACGCGCACGCACGTACACACACACACGCACGCACGCACGCACACACGCACGCACGCACGCACGCACGCACACATACACACACGCACACACACACGGCTCGTTACACCTTTCACTCCTGCTCGGCACAGTAATGGAACAGGAGGTGCGACGCGGGATCCTGCATGATAACTTCGATCCGGATACGGTTCTGTGGGTGAACCGCACGTTCAGCGGATTCCCGCACGACGTCGCCGCACACCCGAACTGTTGCGACTACGCCGACGCCGCCGCCGCCGACGGTGACGCCGACGTGGTGCGCTTCGTGCGAGACCGACTGAGCATGCTCAAGAAGCAGGTGAGTGTGTGTGTGTGTGTGTGTGTGTGTGCGTGGTGTGTGTGTGTGTATGTGTGCGCGCGTGTGTGCGTGTGCGTGTGTGCGCGCTCACCTGATTGCGTTGCGCGGATGTGACCTCGGGAAGAATATTGTTCATGGGCGTATTTTCGAGGGATTGTAACGGGTAAAGGAGCGAGTCTAACGTTGATTATCTATCATTGACGGATCAACACTGCTGATTATCGTGGCAAACTTTTTCCATTTTACTCTAAACCAAAAAGGGGATATAGTATTTCCGAGTCCACGTTACTTCAAGGGATTCGAGAAATTCGAGTGATTTTAACTTCAATGTTGAAATTCACTGCAAAATACACTTGTACAGAGAGTTTAGAGTTAGTAAACGTGTGCAGTTATAGCAATCGTGTGTGCACACAGGAGGCCCAGTCCCAGACTTCTCGTTAGTCCAACTACGGGCCTTGTACAAAGCACACGGTGCATAAACTAATGTTTACAGGTGTAAAATCTAACGTTTAATTTGTGTCCTTGTTAGTTATCACCACGAGGTGTACTTCCATGTTGACAGTTCAGCATCACCCCGATTGCGTGCAGACAAACAGAACTCCTCCCTTTCGACCTTCATAGCAGTTCATATTTACGTCATATTGTATTTAATCCTTAAGTATCTATTCTTATTAATTTGACAGGTGCACCACCGTCTGTTGATGAATCGTAGTAACGTGCTGCGCCACCAGGTGGAGTGGCACGAGCGGCAT